TATATATTTTACATGCGCTGCGATTGTACTGGTATTTAATGGCCTTTTTTGAGGCTGGTACCCACGCTAGTTTTAGATGGAGGATCCCCACAAGATTTTTGTAGGGTATGGGTCACCTTGGTTGAGCCGCCAAGCAGCCGCTTCAGCCCAAGGTTTGGTCCGAAGTGCAGCTGTGCAAAAGACTCCTGGAGCCCGAACAGTGTCAGCATGGCCAGACTCTGGGCAAAGTCGGCAATCAGTAATGTGAAAAAAAACGCACTTTGATAACCAAGGGGAGCCCCACAAGTCATCAAACATGATTGAAACATGCCAGATTGGACATATTAGGAAATGTAATCTTTCTTGTTTGGCTCCTAGCAGTCCTGAAGATAAGTTCGGCTTGCACAATTTTTTGGACTGTTGAAACCATCGCAGACCTCAAAACTGCCCTCTGCAAAAGCATTCAGGCGATTCAGGGTGGGTAACAAACACAGTCATAATTGAGTCATAATGCCTCCTCTTCCCTGTGTGACTTGACATCACCAGGAACGGCACGGACGTCTACAAGTACAGTTTGCAGGCTCCAAACCAGCAACCGGAAGACCACGAAGACCATTCGAGCTTGACCCCTCAATCTGTCACTGGTGCCACTTTGGTTCCCAGTCCTAACCCTGGAGCCTAGGCTGCCAATGAGTTGCCAATAGGTTGCACCAATGATGCCAAGGCTTGCAAGACTTAGAGGGATTTATCAGGTTAGGTGAACACCTTTCTGAAAGTTTAGGTGAAAGCATTGACAGCCTCGGATTTCATTCTTTTCTAGGTCTCAGCTCTGAAAGCAAAATGCTCAGCTCGGATCATTTCCTAGATCCTGGGCTCAGGAGAAACCGAATGGTCAGCAGCACTGGATCAGATTTGGTCAGACGAGCAATGTAAGAACTTGGGCTTCATGCAGAGCGACTTCTCACAGTGCAAGGCGACAAGATCATAGCGTTTGTGTATCCATGTGCACCTTGAAATTCAGCCTGGACTCCCACAACCGCTCAAAGGATCAGTTGACCCGTTTGCATACAGTTGTAAAACCGTTTGCCCATTTGCTAGGTTCCGTGTTGAACCTGCGAATACTATCCCCCCAAATGCTTTGAGGCCACTTGCAGGAGACATCCCTCTTGCACCGCCATCAATGTGCACGCTACCTCAGGCTGTGATGTACCAAGGGGTCGAAGAAGTTGTGGTGACATGGTCATTGGTCTCATTGGTCACTATAGACCTAGCAATGGCGTGTTCATGGCTGTGTCCCAAATGCAGGAGAATTGGAAACCCATAATTTGGTTCCTCACCCCCTCCAAAAACCGCAGATCTCCAGGCTGTGGGCTTCGAGCCTGCCCGCGACCGGTGCCCACACCAAGCAAATTCCTACCAATGTACAGAGGACCGAACTGGACTGTTTGGGCGAGATTCCTGGTGACTTCTTGGGGGTTCAAAGGTAGAATGATGTTGAATGTGTGCTTGATTCGGAGGCTTCTGCAATGGGAATCTGAGATTGGCAACATGTTAGCAACCAACAGTCCATGCATATCCATGCCCTTCTCGACCTTGGTGCATGATTTTCCACCAGGATACTATTTGCTGAATAACTTGAAGGCCGTTCCCACCACAGCCCCAAAAACAGCGATGGCTAACCCCAAGCCATCCACCGAGACGGGGGCCTTTCCGCACGACGAGTGCTTTCGGAACAACGCTCAGCCGCTTGGTCGTTTTATTGGCCTTTGATGCCTTCAATCCTGGCACTGAAACATAGTGAAACTATACAAACCTACAACAGATGCATGCATTGCATGCAACTATATGCAAATGTAAAATCTGAAAGTGCTTTTGCACATTCAAGCAGCATGGACGCTTGCATCGAAGTTTCGCCTTCGCAGGTACTGGCCCCTGATCCCAGGGCAAGGGCGAACCAGTGAAAACTCAGCGTATTTGTGCCTGGGGACCCAGTGGGTGCTGCTTGTTTTCGGACACAATTCTGACAGAGCCCAGCTCACTGTATTGCTAGAAATGTCGAAAGATCCAACAGGAAATGACCATCTATAGGGTACACGCATGTACACGCAAAGTACAGTTTTTCCCAGCCACTTGAAGCGTTTCAGCGCATGTCCACAGGCCAAGCAAGATGTGTCGTGGTGACCGGCTGCATGCACTTCAACTTCCACCAAAATGGCAAGTGCGAACTCGCCCCTGGTTCCTTTGGCTTGAACTATTGAACTGACTACGAGAGCGATGGTGGTTGGGTGTCTTGCCGGGCAGCTTGTTTTTTGCATGAGAGTTTAGGGACTTATTGGCAAAAGAAAACCACAGAAGCACCATGAAGTACCAGCTGATATCAAGATCCATCTCATATCTATTCCAAGGCATTCAGCCAGAAAGCCAGGGCTTGGATGTCCATCGTTTCAACCGGGCCATTGGGCAGTCCCAAGGATCTGCTAGCAGATTGTCGCGGCAGCAAAATTCTGCGTCTTGGCAAAGGGGGGATTAACCGCAACCCACCTCTACTTCACCACCAAGCAGAAAACATTTGGATGCATCAAGCACTGACTTGGTATGACTTGGTGATGTGGGCGGTCCCAGGAAGATAGCAGATATCGTGGTCCCTGGCTTAGGTCCTATCTGGCCCAGCACGCTGCGAGCCGAACGAGGACAGGTGACCTGACGCTGGGTGCTCCTCAGCTTTAAAACACCATCCAGCATCGGTCCAACATCATCCGGATGAATAAAGCAAGGAGCTGCCATACTGTACCATGCAACCGAGCACTTGGTGGGAGTTCACTGCGATAACTAAAGACTACTATAAAGAACCCTTCAACTCTGCAAGGAGCCAACAACTTCAACTGCTGGCCCTGAGCTGGTCTCTCCTGGCCCACGTCTCAGACTGGAGTGGCAGGGCCTGTGTGTTCTTGGGTTTTTGGGCAAGTGATGAGTTGCTGTTGCACCAGCCCTACCAGGGCATCGCCACAGCCATAAGGCATAGACACAACAGAGCTCAACAAGCAGATTCATGTGGGCATCATGGATGGCAGCTTGGCATATCTTGCCAGGGAATTCAGGATATTTCAAGATTGATCTGCTGCGAAATTGGGACCTTTATATATAGTAAATATTGGACCTTAGCAGTTTTTCTTGCTGCCGCAAAGCATGTTCAAGTTGGTGTTCGGCCCCTTTAAGGTTCCATCAAAAAATTGGCAGTCATGCCGTGGCCTGGCCTCTCCCCCAATCAACCGCATCTGGATCCTGCTATACCAATTTTTCTTGGGGATCGTGTGCCATGCTGGGGACCTTGAGTTCAAGAGTGGAAGCTGAGCACAGAAGCAAAATTTGCTGGAGGAATGTGGAGGATGTTTGGTTGGAGAATCTGTGTCCAATTCTTTCGGGCGCCCTCCATGGCAGGTGTGGAGGTAGATGTGACTGTGAACACCACTGGCTGCACAGGGCACAGGTGCGCGCAGTCTTTGGACCATCTTTGGACCCAGCAGACAGATATATGATATATGATATATGATATATATCGAAGATTCAACATGATTCAACATCGTTATCCAGTGCCTCCAAAATCCTCCAAATATCTTCATTCGCTTCGTTGTGGGGCACCTTAGCTGGGGGATTGAAATTCCGATATATTTCATCTCAGGGGGGATGGGATATGATGGGATTAACCAAGGCCTGGTGTTGATGGCTTCATGTGCGGTGGAACGGGGCGACACATCCACTGGTCCTTGCGCTGTGGGAGGCATCTGGTCCATGATTTCCACATGTTGCTGCCGTTGATATGCCACAGATTTCCAGGATGGCCCACCTTCTGGTGACTCAAACGAATCAATGCGAATCAGCTACCGCATTAAAAAGCATACATAAACAACAGCAAACATGGATAGTCAACGATGGTTTTCATAGTAGTTTGTGAGGTACAGACCTGTTAACGCGACCTGGACAGGTCTGACTTCACCATTTGGACCAGTTTCAGCGTCAAGAAGATCAGCTCAACTGGCTTGAGTCACCGGGATGGCACCAGGTTTCTGTTTCAACTGTCGTCCACCTTTTTCGATCCATCTGATTCCATCCGTGTTTGAAACATTGCAGAACCATACTAGCCGCTACTAGCCAATTGAAAAGACATCGGTCTATTATGTTTTGACATTTTTTGCATTTGCCACATCTTCCTCTTGACTTGGTTGCCGCGGTTTTCGAGATTTTCCATACGTTTGCACGTTGGGTCCCTGCTGATATGCTAGAGCTAGTCCATGAACAGTCCCACCAGTGGAGCCCCGCATTTAGCCGATCTCAGGTTTCATACTGTGGAGCGATAGTATGCCACACCACATCGGCTTCGATGGTCATCAAATGTCTCTCTCTTACGAAGGAGCAGAGTTGCAAATGGCGTTGCAAATTATTGCAAATTGCTCAAAGGAGTCATCAACATTGACCGGAGCCAATCTGGCAATGTGGGAAAAATGGTTCAAGGTTTCAATGCGCCACACGTATCCTATTTGTACCCTGAAATGTCATGTTGTTCCAATGGAAATTAGACCAGCGAATCATCGCAAAGTGAATGCGAAGTGAATGCGAAGTGACCTGAGTTCTGCCTTTCGATGCTTTTCGACGCTTTTCGACACAGGAGGTGCATGGGGTGACTTTCATGACTTGGGCTTGAGTCCGTTGAAAGCCAACGTTCAGTACGAGCTGCAACTCAATCGGCAGGAGGGTGAACTCCAGGAATCTTGGACCGATGGATTTCAGCCCCAGTTTCCTCTTATTTCCCACCGCTTGTTTTGTCATGTCCCACCACTTGTTTTGTCAATTGTTTCATATTGTTTCAAACATATTCAAAAGGCTGTTCTCGTGGCTTTTCTGATTCCCCACCTGCCAAGTGAGGGTTGTTAGATTTTATCAGAGCTGTTGTCCTCCTCCTTCTCCTCCTCTGCCTCCTCCTCCAGTTTCTCCTCGACCATGTCTGCATCAACTTCCACCTCCACTTCCGCCTTGCCAACTCTTCGCCAAGCTCTTCGCCAACTTCCGAGCTCAGTGCGCACTGCTGGACCTCAACCTGGGACCTTCCCAGCTCAGTGCGCACCGCTGGACCTCAACCTGGGACCTTCCCAGCTCAGCGCGCACCGCTGGACCTCAACCTGGGACCTTCCCAGCTCAGCGCGCACCGCTGGACCTCAACCTGGGACCTTCCCAGCTCAGCGCGCACCGCTGGACCTCAACGCCCAGATAGAATGCCAGAAGATATGCCAGATAGAATGTCAGATAGAATGCGAGAAGATATGCCAGATAAAATGCCATAAGTCCATAAGATATACCAGATAGAGTGCCAGAAGATATGCCAGATAGAATATTAGAAGATATGCCAGATAGAATGCCAGAAGGTATGCCAGATAGAATGCCAGATAAAGTGCCAGAATCTTTGCCAGATAGAATGCCAGAAGATTTGCCAGATAATATGCCAGAAGATATGCCAGATAGAATGCCAGATGGAATGCCAGAAGATATGCCAGAACATATGCCAGAAGATATGCCGGGTAGAATGCCAGAAGATATGCCAGATAAAATGCCAGAAGATATGCCAGATAGAATGCCAGAAGCTATGCCAGATAGAATGCCAGAAGGTATGCCAGATAAAGTGCCAGAATGTTTGCCAGATAGAATGCCAGAAGATTTGCCAGATAGAATGCCAGATAGGATGTCAGAAGACATGCCAGAAGATATGTCAGAATATATGCCAGATAGAATGCCAGATAGAATGCCAGACAGAATGCCAGATAGAATGCCAGAAGATATGCCAGATAAAATGCCAGATCGAATGCCAGAAGATATGTCAGATAGAATGCTAGAAGACATGCCAGCAACGAAATGTATAAATGTCATGGTGGGAATCACTCGAAGTAAAGTAATTGATGTTCCTTTTGATGGAAATATCAGGATCTGCCTGTGACCCAAACGTGACATTTAGATACATTTAAATTTAGTAGTCACATCATGTCACATCTTGCACCCCCAAGTGTTATTTGCGTCGTTTTTCCCATGGAAAATGGGATATGATAGATTATGGGCATGATCAAACCATATTGAACCCCGTTGTTGCCAACTCATCGAATCGATCCTTCCACATTTGCTTGCCAGTTCGTTTCGCTTCAGCTATATAGATGAAATTTGCTGGACGTTGCACGAACTTCATTGAAAATCAAAAAACTCTTAGCCAGGGCTCGTATTCTGCGGTTCCTGCAAGTGTTCCCCTACCACTGAAGGATGTTGAAGGATTTGAAAAAGTGCCTCTCAAAGAAATCAAGAAAAGAAAGAAACGCATGACATTTCGTAAGCTCGATATTCTTGCAAATGGGGCACAAACAAATTGCTGACATGCACAGGTCCGACCCTTTCTCCTTAGAACAGTGTGAGGTTCTCTTGAATGGCGTCCAAATCATGACGCCCTTGCTGATCAAGGGCAACGTGGAAACCTGTTGGCACTTTTGTAAATTGTTGCCAGCTGTGCTTGAGTCTGTATCCTACTTTATTACGAGTCAGCGACAAATCGATTGAGCATGGTTTTAGTAAATGGAGTCGGCGTGTGTTTTTCTTTTGGTTTGATTTTCATGATTTCAAGCACTCGGGGGGGGGGGCAGGGCGCGCATTTAATTCATGCATTGTGGTCGTTGCCAACTTCTTGTATGTTGTTGCCGTGTCAAACGAGGAAATGGTTTCTTGGAGCCCGTCCATGAACACCATTCTGGTCCAAACCTTGTATTGCTCAACACAGGCGCATAGATGCATCCCCATTGTGAAAAAAATTAAACCCGAAACCTAAAACATTCGCAATTCAGTGTCATCAACATGTTCAACCCACGTTTTTATATGTTTTGAATGTTTGTTTTGACATGTCGTCAACATGCACTAGTTGCAACCAACATGCGAAGCAGCAGATTCAAAACCAGAGATCGCAGACACGAGGCTTCAAAAAAAAGGGAGTAAACGTCCGCGCCAGGCCTGGCCAATGATGGTGAAACAGACAGGTAACCCAGGTAACCGGACAGGTGTTAGCAACATGGTTTGCTGGAAAATCCAACATGTTGATTTGAATTTATTTGTTTTTTTTTTTCCGAAGAGTATGGGAATTTTCACGTTTGCAAGTCAGAGTTAGTATAGTATAGTAACATGAATTTCATACATGTTGGTGTATTGTTCAAACATACGAGATATACATAGATATACCTTACCAATATCTACCAATCACATAGTCGTGGGTCATTTGGTCAAATGTATTCAAATGTCAAAAATCACAATTTTTTATAGGTGGTATATAGGTGGTATAAACCATTCCCAGTCATGGGTGGTTTTTTTTGTTGGTTTCTGGCACCATCTTTTTGCACCTGTCAGGCAGAGCGCAAAAAGCACCTGTCAGGCAGAAAGGCAGAGCGCAAAAAGATGGTGTGCCGGGGGGATGGGACGGCAGGGCGATGCAGGGAGTGGAAACCAAAAAAGGGCCAAAAAATCAGAATTTCCGTTTTTTTTGGATGTTAAAATATGTTAAACATTGTTAAACATATATATGTTAAAGGTTTTTAAGAAATTGAGAACTGTATCAAAACTGAGATTGTAGCAACTCAAAACCAAATGATCCGAATGATCCAAATGGCCAGCATGTTTACTGTTTTTTACACTTCAGTTACTTCAAACTCGGCCAGGCACCTTCCTCCCTGTTGGCCAGCTATGCCTACATTGCGCCACTCGGCAGCCGGTAGGGGAAGTTTGATGTTTATGGTAGATTGATTGGTGGGTTTTCTATTGGAATAGTCATGCATAGATGAATAGTATTGAATAGTCCAATAAATTATACTGTATTTATCTGTATTTCCAAACAGGTATTAAGTTTACTCCATTTTTCATTGTGACCCAGAGGACATTTTGTTTCATGAAATATTCCAATGGTATTGCTGCAACGGATCCTGCACATTCCCTCGATTTTGCAACTCATCAGCTTCGATATTTTGCTCCAAGTCGGGATCACGACCTCTGTCGCTGCGTAAACCACGGGAAGCCAGGAGAAACAAGGGTTGGGACATCCTACTTCTTGTTTTATTTGTTTTTTTTTGGCACACTCACTTACGGATATATATTTTTTTCACAGATGAACATCCACATAATAAGTTATAATTAAGTTATATATATATATATAGAACATCAAAATTCATGTGAAACGAACTATATACTTATGTCCAGGTTTCGAGATTTTTTGAGATTTTTTTAATCATATTTTGATATTCCATTTCGCCATTTTCATGACCGCAACCCCCAAGGAACGCCTGTGAATCTCTGGCTTTGGCGCCACCACTGCCTATATTGCTCGACCGATTTGCCCAGCTCTCGGGGCCCATGCTGAGGCTGGGGCGGAGGTTTTAGCCTGGGGTAAACTAACAAAGGTGGAAAACCATGGAAAACCCCGTGGTTTTCCATGCGGAAAATGATCGTTTCTTTCATGGTGGCTTTGGAAAACATTGAAGTCATAGTTTACAGGAGGGTAACCATTGAGAAATGAGGAGTTCACATGATTTATTCATCAAAGGGGATCTCATGGGACATTGGGGATATGATGGGATTACTGTAATTATTGATCGTTGGGATTTATTGGGATTTAACAAAAACTGAGGGGGATATGCTGGGGTATAAAGGGGGCCAGAGGATACCACATTTTTATACCAAGCTACGTAATTACTTGTGTGCCATAGCACCATGTTTGTTGGTAGGTATACGGTTGTAGACTGAATTAGATCTGACGTATAATGGGAAGTTATGCCTGTGACTGGCTTTTCCAACTTGAGTGTTTTGAACTATACCTATGTGTTGGAGGAAGGTTATATAAGGTTGAGACATCAAGTTTCCCTGAAGTCGGCTGATCATGCCATGACTATCATGCTGCAGTGTCTCAGACATCGCTGTCTTGGCGAAGGCCGAAGTCGCGGAAGTCTCAAGTGCGAGGAGGAAAAGAACTTGGCATCGCTGATCAGAGCTGACGGATGAAATTCGAAAGTTGGAGATTTCTGCAGTTTCCGTGCCCATCTGCCATCGCTCCACCAGGCAATGCTTGTTCCTCGCTTGCAGTGTGAGCCATGCCATTCAGGTTGGTTGAAATAACAGAATGGATGTGACTACTTCAGTCCATCTAGTGTACAGATTGGACCTTGCATCCTGCAATCCAGGAAGTGTTTTTATATTTTTTTCCATATTCATATATATTAATATACAGATAATATACATGAATTATCATGAATTATTAGGATGTTTTTCCTATGTTTTTCTAAGTCCATTCTCATTCTCAAACGAAGTGAGATCCTTCTCGGTCATCTGAGGTCCTGGCCAAGCCGCCCAGCTCTGCCAAGGACTGGTTTCACCAGTGATAGCCGGATTCAGCCGGAGAGCCATCAAAATGTTTGGGTTTAACAAGATTTAACCATGAAAAGTGTAAATTATAAAAATATATAAAAACCACTTTTGAAACCACCACGTAAAGTGAGCTTCAATCCAAACTGCTGGGTGATTATGGGTTTGAAGATTATTCACTGGTGCGATGTAGTCCCCACTAGGCTGATTGAGGGCTTTTTCATATACATGGATGACGATATATTGTTTAATGTATGAGTTTATAATATTTTATAATTATTGAGGATATAATATAAGATTAATATAATATATATATATTAGATATACATATATATAATATTATATACACACATAACACCTCTATGATTATCAGCCTATTGAGGAATTTCAGCTGATCGCAGATTGTTGGCGTTATCCAGGATCATCCGGATCTCCGGATCATCGAGCAGCGCTCGGTGACTCAGGTTTTTTTTTTGATGGTCCAAAACCTAGAAATCATCCAAAATCATGGAAAATCATATGGAAAATCATGTGGAATCACGGAGAATCTCAGGTTGATAGATGCTGATCAATGCTGACAAAGCATGCTAGGTGCAGATAAGCGGCTTGTAATTTTTGTTTGGATGGTCCAATGTTGTTTGGGACTAGGGAAGACCGAAGGAAAGCTGGCACAGTTGACACAAACAGGTCAAGAACTTGTGGAAAGCACATCCCGCGCAAGGTTCATGCTCCACCATTGGTGAGTTGGCAAAAAACACCATCAATTCGTAGACCACGCAGGGCTTGGTCTGAGGGAATCCCAGGGAATCACGGGGATCCCAGGGAATAGCCATGCCAATTCAGAATCAATAACATGAAATGACATGCTATGAACTTACTATGAATTTTTAACAAATTCTACCAAGACATACCAAGAGCCCAGCTGCCCAAAAAAGGATCTGGTACAGCACAGCGCCACTTGACATGACGCCATGGCGCATGTCATCAGCATTGGCTTTGCTCGCTTTGCTCGGAGTACCATTTGGCAAAGCTCAGGAGCTGTGCCTCAGCGACGGAATCCCAGCCAGCGACCGACGCTTCGTTGTGAATTCCGCAGGCGAGAATTCCCACATTCGCATGTCGATCTTCAGTTGGACTTCAGCGGAACTCGCCTCAACCATTGCACAACTGCTGATTGAAGAAGTTTTAGGGTACCATGTTAGTACCGCAGTCAGTAGTGGGGCGTTGGAAGGGGTGGAAGCCTTGCTGCGCTTGTCGGGCTGTTCGGATTTGGAGTGCAGCTCCAGCAGCGACGAGCTCAGCGACGTGGCGTTAGAATTCTGGTTGGCCGATTCGGCGGAGGAGGTCAGTCGCCTCAAAGTTTCAAGTCCCGGCAGAGCACCAGAAGACCTGGGATCCATTGGAGACTTAGCTATTTGATAGTTTATAATATTACTATTATACATATATATATATATGTATAATATATATATATGTATAATATATTTATATGTATAATATATATATAGGTACAATATATATATAGGTACAATATATATATATACATATATGTATAATATATATATGTATAATATATATATATATGTATAATATATATATATAAATTTAAGAATTTTAGATAATAATTGATATAATTAAGTTACCATTATATGGAAAAAAGGCAGGTCATGGAGGTTTCTTTTTGCTCAGGCTATCCCAGCATGGAGGGGCTCTTTGTGACTTTTTCTGTCCTAGTGGAAGCCTATGAAACAACTGGCCATGCACTGGACTACTACAGGAGCTACAACAAAACTCACAACAGGCCCATGAAATTCTTCACACCGCTTCCGGACCTGGATCTCACCGACTTTGTTGCGTGCAACGAAAGCAAGTGGGTTGATCCGAGTTTTATCAACCCGCATCTCAGTGATGATCAGTGATGTGATGTGTTTCAGAATTGCGTCGTTTTCCATCACTACCTAGTGATTCTGGGTCAAGATTCGCTCCAAAACTGGGATGGGTGAAGATCACATAAGATTACTAAAATGCCAAAGTATGATAATTTCATATCATATTTCTATATCCTGATTTGTCGTTCTTAGACCAATAGCCATTCGAGATCACCTCAATTGTTTCGAAATGGGTAACATCAACCAGCCCAATGGAACCAGGTACGTGCAATGGACCGGTGATTTGGAGGGAGTTGAAGCAGCTGACGGTGGGTACCATGCGTTCTGCCCTGACGGGACCTTTTGGATTGCCCCTGCCTGCCGTGGCAACACTTCTGAGTGCATTCCGATTATAAGTACTGGCTACGGCTGGGGTGTGCATTTCATCATGCAATGGAAGCTTGACGGAATTCAGTCTTCCAATGATCCCGTGATGCCGAGCCGGGTCAGAAATGTGAGTTGGTTCCTCAACGGTGGTTTTCAACTTTTCAACCTTCCTTTTTCACCGGATCTTAGGACGCGAGGAAACCCTCACCAAATGAGTAAGAAACATGAGCCGCGAAATACCCGACCGGGTCAACTAACAGTTCGATGTGGTGTTTACCCACCTTGAAAGCAAGATCATTTTCCCAAGGAAACCATGGGTTCTCCACATTTGTTTGATTTTGTTTGTAAGTTTACCCTAGGGTCGTTACCATGACCAGCATGTTTGCTCCATCGCATGGAATTGGGCACATGGCTGTGCGACCGTGTTGGATGTCATCCAAGGTCAGCTGTGTATGGACTTCCAGTTGCGGTGGGTATTGCAAAAAGCTGGGCGCAATACGTTGCCACTGTGAACCGCGTGAATGCCCCTCATTGAAGATTTCAGGATGTTTCAGGATCTTTCAATGATGATGTATTTTCCATCCCACCTGCAAACATCATCCCAATATTTGACTTATACTGTATTGTTGTGGATCAAAAGCACCAACCAGGTGCTGTTTTACTGGTGGCTTCCAGATGCTACTTTTGCTGCACTTGACCCCAAACTCATGCTGCTGCCGCAGCACGATCCAAGTCAATGGGCTGTGGGGAATAAACGAACAGCCACAGCTGGAGGAAAGATTGCGAAGTTTGTGAGTCAGGGCTTGAACCGAAAATCTCCAGCGGTCTTTGGTCTCCTGGAAAGCTTCAGGATGCCCAGTCTTTCCACGATGCAGGAGATGCTGTTGAAATTGGCCAAAGGAGAAAAAATGAGGCAAGTGGCCTGCGGATGGCTTCTATCCAACAGAGAGATTTGGGCAGAGTGGATTCCCAGAAATAGAAAGACTTCATGTCCTCGGGGCAGAGGCATGGTGAATCTGGAAGGAGAATTTGTTGGATCTCGTGAGAGCGCTGTGGATTGTGGCTTTTGTCCGCCTGGCACATTCTCTGAGAGTATTACAGATGGCATAGGCACCAGCCATCGATGCGCGCTCTGCGAATCTGGTAGGTATCAGAATTTGTATGCAGAGCCGGCTTGCAAGGACTGTGAACTTGGACACTTTAGTGCCACCAATGGCTCCGTTGCATGTGACCTGTGCAGTTTGGGCAGCTACGCCAATTCGACTGGATTGACTGCATGCACGAAATGTGGTGACGAAAGTCAGTGGACCACAAGTCAAGTAGTGATGGTTAAAGGGGTGAGCAAATGGATTGAGCTGGAGGCCGCGACATCTTCTGATTTCTGTGGCTGCCGTGCAGGCTGGTTTCTATTTGATGGCAGCTGTCAGAGCTGCATTGAAGGATCTACCTGTCCAGGCTCAAGTCAATTGGAACTGCTGCCAGGACCACACATCATCAGGAATCATCTCCCCGTCCCAGGATTCCACGAAAAAACTGATGGTTTTCCAGTGGATACTTAAGATACTAGCTCAAGAATGCTATAGAATGCTTAAGACCATCTAAGATTATCCAAGACCATCCAGAAGCTCCATGGCTACAACAGTCACAACAGTCTTTTATTTTCTATCCAATGATGTCCAATGATTTTTTTTTTACTTGGGGATCTTGGGGGCTATCCAATCATATCCAATCCATAATTTTCCCAGCCGCAACTCCATCTCCAACTCCAGGATATCATTCCCTTCCGGAAGATCCACGCCATATCTTCCAGTGCTACGGCGCCACCGCGCTCCGCTGCCCGGGTGGGGCCGTCGGACACTGCGCTGTTGGGCGCGACGCCCAAAGTGTCCAATGCGCCACCTGTCTGCCGGGCCTCGTGGAGGATGGTGGGCCCTGCCGCAGCTGCGAAGGTGTGGATGGTGGTTAAATGTGGTTAAAGAATGTGGTAAAACAACGTAAAATCCAACGTAAAGCCCATTCAATCTGAGTTGGATGTTTGGATATGTTTGGTAACATTGAAGAGTCACGGTTAGTTAAGAATTATGAACTGGGCTTATTATCCATGTATGAGATTCTTTTACGACAAATAGCTCCTTTCTGATCAAGTAGTAGTTCTCAAAACATGTGATGGCTGTTGCCGTTGGAACAGTTTTCATCTTGAAGCAAGAAGTGCTGAAATGAAAGGTAACAATTTAACAACTCAACTAGACTCCCTTCAGGCAAGGACTACCTCATGTCCATCCTTATAGCAATGTTACTGGTTGCAAGTACCAGTGGTTTGCACATTGTGAATCTGCGAATGGAGAGACGAGGCAGGACAGCATCAGCATCGGTGGTCAATGTCGTGGTGCCGGTGAGTCAGATAGTCACCTGCATCCAGCTCTGCACGGTGATGACTCAAATCTCTATTCGCTGGACTGTGGCCTGGAGTTGATTTAAGGAGGTTTCTTAAAATTGGGGTCATACCATATACCAACTAATATACCAATTGGATATTGTTATACCAACCAATATATACCAATGTTAAATTCTATCCATGGGGATACCATATACCAATTGGATCAAATTGGGGTGATCCATGGTGATCCCTTAAATTTCCCAAATATGGGGCTTTTCACAAAGACCATGATCCAAGCGCTTAAGTCTTTAGAGTATTCATGAAATGTGGACAAAGACATATTTCTTTTTCCTTGGAGATTGGAGACCCTTAGTGTTCAATCTTCGTTTAGGTCTTGGACTGCTTGTTGATTCCTGAAAGACGTCGAGAAAATTGATTAAAATTGATGAACATTGGGGCTTCAAAGCTGCTCAGGATCCATTTACCCTGCTCTTGGACGCCTTGAGCTATGTGTCCTTGGACGAACTTGCGCATGGTTTTAGAGCCTTGAACTGTGTTGCAGATGTGACTCCCGTTCTGCGATTTCTCTTCACAAATGTCACTTGTCCAAAAACTTGTCCGAAAAATATCGGTGGTGCCCAGTATTGATCCCCAGATATCCAGATCTACCAGAAAATCCAACAGTGATTGGAGTTATGTTAACCAACAGTGATTGATTCCGAACTGCACCAGCTTATTCCAAGCAGGTCTGAGCTTGGCGGTTTCCAAGGGTATTTCCCAGCCTGCAAAAAGTGTTTCTGACAGCTGGACACATTTTGCTTAATATTCTTGAAATATATGAAAAGAGCGAATGCGATCTACAGGCTGATGACCCCACATCTATAGAATGACATCTATGATACACATGGGTTTCTTAAAATGGTGGATTCCCATGTTTTTTTTTGGCTTAGATACTGAAATGGTCGTTGGATGATTCGGGGCTACCCTCTTGGTAGGAAACCATGCAGAAACTGAGTGTTGATGGCGACGTTTTTCGGACTCTACAAGGCTTCCAGAGAACACAGTGGACACATCTTGATAACATGTAAATATGTATATTTAATGATTATTCACTAAATATACTGTAGATATTGTTTAAATAATTCTTTAATACTATCTCACACAATATCAGATAAACATAGATATTTTTCTGTCCCTTCCGCATGAAAAGGGTGAGTCGGTGACCAGCAGGAAGTGATGTGAATTGGTCACCAATTGGGGACCGAAACTCTGCCAGGTCATTCTTCCCACTGCACTGGCGCTGCCGCCAGCAATTTTGCACTTGGCCTATGCAAAGGTGACAGGTCAGGCCTGGAAGATGCATATACTTGGAGAGACCTTGCTTGGCCTGTATGCTGCACTGATCATTACCCAAGTGAACTCTGCTGTGGGGCCATTTCGATGTTCTCCACACCCCAATGGCCTATGGACTATGCAAGGATATCATGCAGTGGTTTGCGATTTTGCAGCAGAGCACCTTCAACTGTGCTTGCTGGGGGTTGCAATTGGCCTCATACCTCTGGGTTTCTTGAGCCTTTGCAGCTGGATGCTTCTGATTGAGCTTCCCAAGCGGGTGAATTCAGGTGACGTGACCTTTGTCCGCTCTTGCAGATTTTTGATTTTCCGATTTCACCCAGGCTACGAGGTCTTTGCTCTGATTCTGCTGGCTCGCAACATCCTGTTTGCTTGTGCACCCATGCTACAGTGGCCTTCGGTCAGCGTGGTCATCATGGAAAGCCTACTGGGTTGCAGCATCGCTTTAACCACCTATTTCAAGCCCTGGAAAACGCGAGCTGCCATTGTCCTTGATATCTTGGTGAATGCGAGCCTGCAATCCGTGCTCCTTATAGGCAAGTGATGCTGAAAATAACTACAAAAAACTAGGTAGAACCAAGGGAAACATGGAGGGATTAAGGGAAGAACAACAGGAATGGATCGATGTCGTATCAATATATATTAATTATATATTTAATTATTAATGATTATTAATTATTAATGTATATTAATGTGATAAAGGTAGTCAAGAAACATGCCATTTGATGCCGAAGGATCCTTCTTCATGCCAACAATTGATCCATCAGCATCCATGGCTCTTTGTACCTGTGTGGTAGCTGTGCTGCTGTTTGGCCTATTGACGTGTGCTGGAGTGGCCCTCGCAAAGCAGCTACTGGCTCGCTGGCTGCAGAGTTACCGTTTTTTCCTATGCCATCACAAGGCTTCGGCTGGATGCCTCGTGCGCTTGCTGAAGATGGATACTGAACGATTTTTGAAAACAAAGCTTTGACTTTGGTTGGGATTCCCCATTTTTGAATTGTCTAGTCTTCATTTATAATACATCTATATGTTAACACAGTATATGTTATATTATGTTATATTGTGTTATTATGTTTTGGATACTCAAGCACTATATTTGATTGGAACAGCCAAAAACAGGTTGATTGGTGGCCCTTTTTCAACATGTTTTTCGTTCCGACCCAGGAACTGCAAGGCCAAGGTGCAAAGCACAAGGTCTTTGTAGACACGGACAATCTCACTGACCTAACCCGCCTCTTTACGGTCGTGAGCAACGAAGTGGATGCTAAGTTGTTGGTTTTAAGTTCTTGTTTTTGTTGTCTTTCCCATGGTAAATCTGCCATTCAATATCATTTGCGGGAATCTATAGGACATATACATATAATCATATATATATATATTTATAGACTTGGTTTTGTTTGGAAGCGATATGTTTTCAAGCAAATCCAAGGATATGTTGGTCGTTGTTGGCACATCATCAGTGCTCACGCGGAAATGGTGCCTGGGTGAAATTACGACTGCGAGAGTGAACAATGTGCCAACGGTGATTCTGGGATTGGCAGACTTTGAGCTGCCAAATCACTGCTGCTTAGATACGCATTTGGGCCTTGTGAATACTTCTGATTTGGCCAACTATGGAATCAGCATAGAGGACTTGAAGGACACCATAAATTGGCTGGAAACGGTGAAGTGCTTTCCCTTGGAGGACTTCAGTCTGTCAGCTTTGCAGTCAATTGTGGACGAGCTAAAGGGAGTGAAACCAGCACTCAGTCCTGTAGCAGACTCGACAGACTCGACCGACTCGGACTGTTTGATTCTGTCCGATCCTTCAAACACAGAGGCTATGGCAACTGCCTATATTCTAGCAGCTATGACCTCCCGGCAGATCATGCATACTCAACAAACTCTACCGAGAGTCGTGGTGAAAGAAGAGAAGCTGCCAGCAATTACAGTCAAGCATGGTGCAAGTGGTGCAATTTCTTGTTTGCTGGTTTGTACGCGCCTCTGCTTTCATTCCAAGCAAATGGCCGACTGGCTACTTCAAGCGTACAGCTTGGACTGCCGAGTGTTGCCAATCGTTAGCAGCGAGGATTTTGAATTGCCCAGTGTAAACATGGGCCATTCCCTCTCGCTGAATTCTACAGATGTGACTCTCTACCTCACCATCCTCCAGTCGCTCTTTCTGGAGATCACACTGCCTTTCTTGCCGCAGAAGTCCTCTGAGGATGATCTCAAATGGAAAGCCCACAGAATCCTACAGCGTTTGGAGGCTTGGGATGGCGGTATCACATTCGCTTTGTTGAACCAAGCGATTCCCAGCCGGGCTGACCTTGGAAAAAATATGTTTTTGTTTCTGTTGACCTTGTTTATATTGTTGTCCAATTCTTGGTCATCCTAACCATGAAGTAAACAATCAATATTTCATGTAAACATCTGTAAACACACTACAAATCCGGTGCATCTGTGCTCGTAGTATTCGAAGACAGCCGAAAGAAAACCTCACCATGGTTCGAACAACATGGAAGCTGTGTGTTTAGATGGGACTCGGCTGATCAGCTAATAGGATTCCATTGAGATTCCAAATTTTGGAGTTCGAATGAGTTCGAAGATTCCATGTCTCTGAGTTTTCGAAGTAGCCTTCCTTTGAGGATAATAAGATATTCACAGAACCCTTAGATTTTTCATGCCCAGAGGCTTTAGGGATCTTTAGGGTCTAAAAGCTGCAATAAATATCATGATGTGAATCATGAGTATCATGAAATCAGTGGTTTGGCCTTTGCCACCATGATTTATCATATTTCTAGAAAGTGACGGAGCGATGGGTAATTGTTCCCTGGTTCGCCGATTTTTGTTTTACCAAGATATTTGCAAACACTTACTTTAAAATATACTTTAACATATTTCATATCTATTACGCACTGATTGCGATGTACATCCACCATTTATCATACAGCCCAAGTGCTCCAGCGGGCTCCAGCGGGCTCCAGCGCAGGATGGGGATGTCCCTGATCTCGCCACACGGTGTCTTTACATTCGATCCACATTTACGTCCGATCGTGCCGTGGGTCTTGAAGCTATGGGGCCGGAGCATGAGGAAATGACAGAAGTGGTTTTTTGAAGAATTGCAGGGCCTTTGTTTGTCTGAAAAATGCCGTATACCGCTGTATAGCAGTTTAAACAAACCACCAATATAGATCAAAGTGGTTGATTCGTTGGGGCAAATGATGATCAACCAATGGAGTTTCAACCAAGGGACACCTCCATTTTTTTGCTCCCTATTTTCAGACAAGCCCATCCATCTATAAGCAGTAAATATTTCAAGTCCCCAACTCCCAAGGAGTTGGCTATTGGGCGACGTAGGGTTGAAGTGACTTTTTCCAGCTCAGACAGGAATCTGTTTAGGATCCGCTTCCAATATCTTCCGATGACCGATGACTCCTGTAGCCACGCGAATTGATGCTGTATGATCTATGTCAATCCCAGTTTTAGCTATGATACTGTGTGCCTACCTCAGGAGTCTGAGAAATTCGTGCTGCGTTTGTTTGAGCTATGACTCGAGTTTCTTCAGCGGACGCGCCGACTGCGTTGGATGGGAAAAGGGGCTGGAGATGGCCGTAGTTGGACGACCTTCCAAGGGAGGTCTCAACAAAGATCGGCCTGTTGGCATCGCAAATGCTGGGGTGCGCGCAATCCTTAGCTGAGTTGGTTTATAACCACGAAGTAGGGTTTATGGATTTTATGGCGTATATAATATATATATATATGTATATACATATTGCCATGAGTGGGTCTGCTGAAAGCAATGCATGCTGCTGAAAGCAGTTCACGAGTATTTGCACTCAATGCGGCACTTAGGCTTCAGCTGCCCTCCCTCACCACGGTGGGATGTGGTGCTTGTGTTGTTTTGCCAAGCTGTTGCTTCTTGTCTTTCTCCCCCGGAAGGCGGGACATCTGCGGGTGTGTTCGTGGTGTTTTTGGTTTCCTTGTTAGGATCCATGCACCACATCCTAACCAACTCTGGTTGTGCGGCCAAAAATAAATGCAGCGCAACCTTTTGAGTGCAAATATACTGTAAATACGTATATATAATATAATTATATATATATACATTGTATGCACGTATCTGGGGTGAATGGGGTTTATAAACCAACTTACAACTAGGGGGCACCACCTTGTACTTATCTACTGACAGACTAGACTCAGCGTAGCTGACCTTCGGAATCCTTCGGATTATTTTAGAATGAACATCGCGATCATCGCGAATGTTGATTTCTGTGTCATGGAGATTGGAGATTCCTTTTAAGCAAAGTTTTTAGGTCAGCACCCTGGGCCCAAATGCCTGGCTAGAGAAAAACCATCCTTGTTGACGAGCTTTCCATTGGAGGCCATACGTCTCTGGATTTTGAGCCACCTCCTTGTATGATGAGGGTTGCTGCATTCTCTAGGCCCTAGGCTTTAACATATTTCAATATATGGCATATATGCATCACAGGTCAAGTTTCTACCTGGATGTCTCTTTTGAAGAGAATTTCCGATGGCCTCTGCCCCTGGTAGTCTTTGAAAATATGAGAGCCAATCCCTTGAGGTCGCCTCTTCCGATGGCTTCCTTGACCAGTCCTTCATCCTGCTGAATCCACCTCTTTTCTTGCCCAAAGATCAACGAATATAAAAGATTGCAGGATGATTTTTGCAATTTGTGGATGTGTTTGTCGAGAAACGTCTCAAAATCAGAGTTTGTGGGAAGAAAATCCACGAAGCAGTGGATTGCTGGCAAGCATGGCTGGGAGTTTGCAAGTAGCATACCCTCTTGTCATATTGTTTGAAGAGCTTGCTATAGAACAAGTTTTAGTAGATGAGAACCTTGGTATCTAACATCAGAAGTTTGAGACCCCTGGTATCAGAAGATAAATAGTGTGGTTCAGTAGTCAAGGAACTTGGTGCTGTATTCAACAGAAGAAAAGTGTATGTATCAGTAGCTGAGAACCTTTGTTTCTAAACTCTAACGTGTTTCAGTTGTTGAGAATATTGGTATTTTATCTAAGTAGCGCACTCCAAGACTTGTTCAAGATAAGTAGCGCATGTCAGTAGTTGAGAACCTTTGGACTTGCCAAAGCACTCCAAGGGCTTGCGCGCAGACATGAATTGTCTTACTCGCCCCCACTCCTCCTCAGACCCAAAGCAGGAGACAGCGCTTGCAAAACACTTCTGCGAGTGGTGAAAATACAAGGGAAAAACGTCAATTCCAACGGGCACATGTAGTGCATTGCACGTGGCAACCAATCGAACAAATGTGGCAAACGTCGTCGACTCGTCAACCGTGGAAACACATACCTATAATGCTTCCAACCCATCAGTTTAACGGGTTTGGAACCCATGTCTTTACTTGGCCCCCTCCAAAACTGTTTTCTATGACTAATAGATCTATAAGATGGCCATGACATGTAGTTATAGTGTAATTATCAGAAGTTCATAGTATCAAATCTTGAGGATGCCGAATCACCAAGCTCCCATCCTCAGAAAATGGGAACGTAAATGATACACACCGTTTTTGGAGGGGATGAACACCGGTCTTTCAAGGTCTTTTGGCGGTGTTTTCACGGTCCTTTCACGATTCCATTTTTTCCGCATTGTTTTTTGTGGATTGGTCTTACTGGTCTTTTTCTCAGAATCATTCAAGATCTTCAAGATCCATAGAAAATGTATTCAGCCGTAATGTACCAGGTAGTTGAGTTGCAAATTAGTCAAGTGCCTGGGATGAAAACATCTAGAGGACCCAGTAGTCAGGAACTAAAGAGGTGAGGCGTTCGCTTGTGCTTCGTCATATTTCGTCGCTATTTGGAGCCCTAAAATTATCATCGTTAAATAGGAAGCAGGATCCAACCCTTAATGGGCTCGGTACCCACCCTGTTCAACGGGTTCGAGGAAACCTAAGGTGCAGTGACAACCTTTCGAGGTTGGCTCCTTTGAAGCTTTTTTGATCAAGATTGCTCAGGTTGCTGCTGTTTGACCATGACGTGACATGACATGCCGTGATGGACCAATCCAAACTATTTGCCCCAATATTTGTGATATTTGTGCTTGTGAAGATGTGCTTCAATGATATTTCAATATATTTCATTTGATGCCGTCGGACATGTTTGAGTGAAAACCACCAGAAACCACACATGTTGGAGGATGTAACATTTCTTCCTGATACGATTCACTAGTGTGCTCCATCTGAAGGGTTGACAGCACAACTTGCCAAAATCATGGGGCGCTTCTTTAGACGCTTTTACAGTGACGAAGAGCCAGCTGCGGGCCCAGCAAAGTCAGCTGTGAGTTGAATCCGGGCTCTTGGGTTCACTACCTCCAGCTGCTCTTGGGTTGCGCACAATGTCATTCTGAGCCATTCCATACATACCATTGGTGTAGAAGCATCCACAAACATACTATAGACTCTAGATACTATAGACAACTGATCTAATTTGTCATTTTTAGTTGCATTTAAAACACATTAAAACATGTTCAAAAAAGGGAATTACTTTACTTCGTGTGATCCCCACCATGACATTTATACATTTTCTTACTGGCAAATCTTCTGGCATTCTATCTGACATATCTTCTGACATTCTATTTGGCATTCTATCTGGCATATCTTCTGGCATATGATCTGGCATATCTTCTGGCATATCTTCTGGCACTCTATCTGACATATCTTCTGGCATTCAATCTGGCATTCTATCTGGCATATCTTCTGGCATATATTCTGACATATCTTCTGGCATTCTATCTGACATATCTTCTGGCATATATTCTGACATATCTTCTGGCATTCTATCTGGCATTCTATCTGGCATTCTATTTGGCATTCTATCTGGCATATCTTCTGGCATATATTCTGGCATATCTTCTGGCATATCTTCTGGCATATCTTCTGGCATATCTTCTGGCATATCTATCTGGCATATCTATCTGGCATATCTTCTGGCATATTTTCTGGCATTCTATCTGGCAAATCTTCTGGCATTCTATCTGGCATATCTTCTGGCATATTATCTGGCATTCTATCTGGCATATCTTCTGGCATATATGCTGACATATCTTCTGGCATTCTATCTGGCATTCTATTTGGCATTCTATCTGGCATATCTTCTGGCATATCTTCTGACATTCTTTCTGACATTCTTTCTAACTTTCTTCTGCACATTCTTTGTCCCATATCTTCCTACATGAGGTCCGGCAGGGAACACTTGGCGTGGATACTCGCGGTTGAGGTCCGGCAGGGAACACTGGGCGTGGATACTCGCGGTTGAGGTCCGGCAGGGAACACTGGGCGGGGATGGTCGTGGTTGAGGTCCGGCAGGGAACACTGGCACGGATGGTCGTGGTTGAGGTCCGGCAGGGAACACTGGGCGTGGATGGTCGTGGTTGAGGTCCGGCAGGGAACACTGGGCGTGGATGGTCGTGGTTGAGGTCCGGCAGAGAACACTGTGGATCGCTGGTCGCAGTTGGACGAGGACGACGAGGACGACGAGGACGACGAGGACGACGAGGACGACGAGGACGACAAGGATGACAAGGAGGACGAGGAGGACGAGGAGGAGAGGAGGAGAGGAGGAGGAGGAGGAGGACGAGGCAGGAGGAGGCAACTGACATAAAATCTAACAACCCTCACCTGGCAGGTGGGGAACAAGAAATGGCAACATATAACTTTGGTGTCCAAGGTCTACTGCTGCGCAGCTTGTGGGGCGCATTTGGCGCAGTACAAGGTCGGGAGACATGGGATGCTCCAAGAATTTCAGCGTTTGGAAAAAACTTGTGATGTAATGTCACCTCGGATTAATAAACCATGATTTATTAGGGGATATTCCCCCAATAGTCATGATTTGATACTTCAATGGTACCTTCCCAATTCAACAGCCGTAAACGGGGTTTATTCATCCAGGGTCATCAGCTGAGGACCTACTCTCCACCAACTTTCGTGGAAGGCGCGGAGTCTGATGGCAAGTGGGATGTGGATGGATAGGATTATATGGGGATGGGTCAAAACCCTGGTACCTAGTGAACCCCAAAATAGCTGGGATTTATGGATGTTCATCCCACTAAAAATGTATCTATAGGTATTGACCCACATCCATATACTCTGGAATACTATGGGAAGTATGTGAATTGTCTCCCTTCCCAAGAATGGCATAAACATGGCATGATGATTCGTGATGATCCACCTTTCTTTTGATATCTTTTGATGGGGACCACATGTCATATCATCCGTGCGTTATTTGTCATATAAATGATAGAATTGGACCGTGCCCAATCGGAAAATCATCTAAACATTGAAAGTAGAAGATTCTCTAGGCTACTCCTGGATAATGGATAATATATATATTTCATTTATATAATATATGTATATATAATACATATGTATTAGATTTACACACACAGGGTTTGACCACAAAATTGGCACCCCAAATTCACTTCTTAATCGTTATAATCATTCCATTCCCCAGTAAAATCCTTCCTGGATACCGCCTGGCCGTGACCTCCCGTGAACCTCCCGTGACCTCCAGGACTGGCAATGCGCTCCTTTTCAACCAGGTCATCAATGTGACTGCAGGACTGGTGATTTCTGCAACACAAAGCTGTATTTGTGATAGTGATATTTTGATCATTTAAGTGGATGTTACATGATATTACCGTACTCAATTACACAAATATATAAGATGTGTAATGTGTATCGAACATATTCCAATAATATCATACATCATATATGGTAGCCCCCCCAAAGATCTACCTTTTTGAGGTTCATAATGGGGGTTGCCATATATTCGCATTTAGTAGTCTAACCTTTTTACAGGACCATATTGCGTGGTGGGGCAATATCCCATTACTGAGGCTTAATCCTCAAAAGTGTTAAATTCTACCATCTGACTCTGGCATCAGCAGGCACTAGGAGGTACTAGGAGGCACTAGTACCTGGCCTCATCCAAGATCCAAGATCCAAGATTCCACAGGAATCCTGGAGAGAATCTTGGATTAGGTCAAATATTAGGGCCAGGTAATGATAGCAGCAAAATGCAGCAAATCCAAGATTCTCTCCAGGAGTCCTGTTGGATCTTAGATTAGGTCAGGCACTAGTACCTCCTAGTACCCCCTAGTACCCCTAGTACCGGCACCTCTCCGCAACATTTGCTAAAACTACACTACTCTAACGCGCTCCAAATGCCAAGGCTGGAGTGGGCGGCTTTGATGTACTGTTCCAGACTGATGTGTGACCCTGAGTGTAACAATCTGAACTGATGTATCACCCTGAGTGTAACAATCTGCTGTAAAATGTTACTGACAATTCTTGATTGCCAATATCCGTGCTCGTCTGCTTGAATTCCAATACTCCAACGTGGTCACAGTGCCAAGGCCGAATTCGGCGGTGTTGACATGCTTGCCTAGCACAGGCAGGGGGTCACAGGGTATATGCAATTCCAGACTGCCATTAGTCGATTGAGTGCAGTACAATTTCCACACAACAAAATATCATTGACGGCTTGCAAATATCAATACTGTATCCTTGGCCCATTTCAGTTGCCAATCGCTCGCCTCAAAATACAGCAGCTCATCCGTTCTGCATCGGCTTCTTCAGTCAAGGTCTTAGTTGCTCAATGGCTTCTGTCTCCGTGGCGGGAAAAGTCGAACTAAACGGCCGCAGTGCTACTTTGACACTGCCGCTCCCTCAGGAGGAACCCGAGCGGAAAATTTATCGGCCAAAGTCCGATGCCTTGATGGAGGGCACCGAAGCGGGCAAGATCCAAGTCCATCCAAGCCGCCAACCAATTGACAAGAAAAAGCTCAGCAGTGCAATGAACAACGTGCAGCGCATGCTACTTCTCAAAGGAGGAGCAGAAGGAGAATGGAATCTACTTCGTGCACAGATGCAATTGGCATCTCTCCTAGCCAAGCCTATTGTGGTCAAGAACATGAAATTGCCCATTGGTGACCAACAGCCTGATGCTAAAGACGTACCACTGGCCCTGGAAGATGGCAATCCAAACTCATCATCGGATTCGTCCTCAGATTCCGATTCATCTTCCAGCTCGTCTGAAGAAGATGCCCCCATTGAGAATTCCTCTGACTCCTCCGACAAGGACAACCAGATCGCAAAGCTGCAAGAGGACTCAAAGATCGAAAGGTGATCCTCCATACAGATAGTGCACGTTCTTCTTACAAGGCCAAAGCTTAGTTATATTTAGCTGTATTTTTGTATTTTTTATTTTTTTGGGGGGCCTGAGATATTTTTTGGTATTTTTTTGTTTGGCTAAGCTATTTGAGAATCTCGTTTGCTTCAACAATGGCTGATTTGGAATACCCTTTGCAACCCTAACTTGTGACATCTAAGACATGTACGGAACATGTTGTTTGTTTCCTTGGTCCTTTCCTTTGCAAATTTCATACATATTCGTACACTTTTTTTCACTTTCCATTGGCTCTTTCAATTTTCTCGTCGAGGCAGCTGAAGAGATATTTGAAATTATTGCTGGGTTATTTTTATTTCTCGTTTGCAATTTGGGTCAGTAGCTGTCAAACACAACAGCAGCATTGCTGCTTTTGCAATGGCAGATGGCTTCGATCCAAGTGGCATGTCTTGGGCTTGAAATGGGGCTCACAGTTCCGTATTTCGTGTCATCACCCAGAGCTGGGAACTTGGTTGCGCACGCCATGGGGTGTTGACTGCAGGGTTCTAGCCAAAGCGGATTGACAAGCGTCTGAGCAAACAATGAAATCACAAAGCCCATTTACATGCAAAAAAAAATCCAAAAGCATGAAAGGACAAAGGCGGGCTCTGGAGCTTCAGGAGGGCGGTGGCTGTTCGGCTGCTTCGGCTCAGCATGTCCACGCAGCGAGGAGGGCTGTTTCGGCCTCGGCTCCTGCTTGCGAAGTGTTTTCAAATTTTGACCTCAAGTGAGGCTGCTTCGGCATTAGCGGTAGCTGTTTCAGCCAAGCCCTTGCAGCATCAGGTAAGCTGCTTCCGGCTGTCAAAGCTGCTTTGGCTTGCTTTGACGCTGTTCCGACTTCTTACTTTGAAGCTGCGTTACATACTTAGTCAGTTTTTGTACATAGCAGGTCGCGATGGATTTTTCGCAAAAAAAGGAATTGGCTGGGGTGGGTTGAAGCGTCAGGGTAAAGACTTGGGGTTTCTGGTCGAATCTACCAATGGGTTGAATCTAAGAGACGATTACCCACAAATATTGGGAGATTCAACGAAAGCTTTGATTTGGAGACAGTCTTGGCTACTTAATATGTGTTTTTTGTCCTCTCCTTAGGAGCATCAAAAAAAATCAACGGACCTCGAATCAACGGGTGGGAATGTCCTCTCCTTAGGAGCTTCGGGGTTGTCCTTGAACCTCCTAAGGGCAGGACGACAAGGGGACGAAACTGGAATACTCTTAAGTATGAGTTTTTCAAAGGCCTTTGTCCCATTGTTGTCCTCTCCTTAGGAGCCTCGGGGACGTCTTTGAACCTCCTAAGGACAGGACGAATTGTCCTCTCCTTAGGAGCATGCCTGAGATCCGCTTCGCTTCAGGAGCCTCGGCTCAAGCACTTCACGGAAGCTTGTGGCTGAAAACTGGCCACACCATCTCTACGCCAAAGAGGTGGCAACTGTCTCGGCTACTGTAGCTGTAGCCGCTTCGGCCACTTAGCTGCTTCGGCTTTTGGTGGCTGCTTTGGCCACAAGTATGCCACCGCGGCATCGACCAATGTCAGATCAGCTGGAAAGGGCCGGATCTTAGCCACATAGACTGCGGCGGGGTGCTGTTTTCAAAGTCGGATGTGAGATGCAAAAAAATGACAAGTGGAAAAGTGGATAAACATGCGTTGCGGCAGCTGCAGACACCCTGTAGACTCAGTTCAGCAAACAGCAATTGATTTATAACAGGTGCAATTTCAATTTCAATTTCAAGGCGTTTCCTTCTGCAGCTGTTTCAGCCCAAGAAAGCTGACTCAGAATCAGCCAGCTGTGCACTCTGTAGTGCTAAGGACCCTTTAAATCAAGCAAGCTGAAAGAGATCTGCGCTTAGTCCAAATACGGATAGTTGGAACTTTGGGGCTCGAAAAGCGGTTTCAGAAGCACCGCAAGTTGAAATGCAGCAAGTGGGGATCTCGTGGGCCGCCCATGTTGCATATTAAGAAAGAGGGGCCAAAGATGACTTTGCCAAAGCTGAAGTCGGCTTGGTATTCCAACCGTGGCTGTTTCAGCCAAGGTCTGTGTCGGATTTGTTGGATGGTGGCTGGTTCGGCCATCAACAGGCCTGTTTCAGTTTTTAACCCAATTGCTTCAATCAAAACGCAAAAAGATATTTGCAAAACTCGTCTGCTACCGGGGGAAAAAAGCGTGGCCACGGCTCTTGAGATATTTTTCTCAAAGTTGGTGTTGAGCACTGTGTCGCATATCTTTGTCGCGACTAAGTTGCAGTCTTAAGTTTGCGTTGGTCTTTTACATTCTACTTCAAGGTTGTTTATTGTGAAGCCCCTCTTGTTATGTTGCGGCAAAGTTCAAGGAAGAAAGACGTGAAAGATATTTGTTATTCTCGTTTGCACCTCTTCCTTTTTGTTGGATTTCTCGTTGAGGGCCCAAAATAAAAAAAATGCAAAAATACAGCTAAATATAAGTAAGAAAGTGCCAGGTGTTCTGCACGACAGTGTAGTTCATCAGAAGAAACGTGTCAAGGTCAAAGGCAAATATGTCTGGCCAACGCCTATTCTTGTGAAACTTACTACCCACAAACTTCCATGGAAAAAAAATCGTGTCAAGGCAGGAACCCAGATCATTGATCGGGCTTGGAAGTTCATCAAGAAACGCCTGCGTTTGAATCAATTCACCAAGGTGGGAAGCTCTTTGCTTCGTGCTCACATTCGGTCTGCGCAGTATGAGTACTGGCATCGCAACCGAGATCTGTGTGCATGCGCTGGGCAGCTGTTACTGAGTATATGAAGGACATAGTTGCTTAGGTTCAATATGCAATCTGCTACAACTGGGAGATAAAATAATGCAGCCCATTGCTTTGCAGCATCTGCAGCATCTGCATAAAATACATGTGTCAACTAATCTGTCATCTGTCATCTAATGCATTCAACAAGCAAAAACGGTAGATCTTTGGGGGGTAACATATATATATATATGATATGTATCACACACACACGATCAAACGTTTCAGGTTGGAATATATGTTGACATCATGACTGGTACATCCGCGCTCCCCAACCTGGCCAGGACCTTTGGAAGACAGCATCATGACGACAGGTCCCCCTTTCAGTGGTCAACGGGTTAGTCCCACACAATACCTGGCACCATCTATAATAATCATTTATAATAACCATTATATATGGTTTTAATCTGGATTATTATTATTGTATTTGTTTTTAATGTTATTATGGATTATTGTTTTTATGGACAATAATAACCATCTCTAATCTTCTATAACAGTCCTATACCATGTATAATAATCCATATTGGCATTTCCATTTTTGGCCGTAGAAGATTGAGTACCATGATTTGAATGTTTGTCAATCCGATGACAATGATGACAAAAATGAAGGTCGAACATGGTGAAACATGATTGAGAGGGCATCTCTGGAATGTGACCGTCAACAAAAATCAAGGTTTGCACGTGATCCGCTGCCTTTTCTGCGTGATTTGCATCTCGGCTGCATTTGCGGTCCTGCAGAGCCAATAAATCAATCAATGATCTCCACAACCATTGTTTGCACTGATGCAGAGAAAATTTTGGACTTCAAACATTCGAGAAAAAGGCAAACCATGGGAAAAATCGCAAACATCTTGGTCATGAGGCCAATTTTTTTCATCCCCTTGGCTGTCGGGATATTTTTTGGAGATGTTTTGCTTCACTTTTTTTTCGGTGCCTTGTTTTCAACCTGCCCTGGTACAGCCGGTGTCAGGTCAGGAGCGCGTGGGTTGGAAGTATGAGGCCCTTGCATTGTCCGTGCCACATACTCACTATGTCGTCTGGGTATCGGTTGGGTGATTTGAGGGATGATTGGGGTCGACTTTGGCATTGGAGGCCCAAGTGGTTCAACGTGGCTCAACTTGGCTCAACTGAATCACTTGGCAAATTTTGTTTAAACCCTGGTTACATATGTTACATGTTATTACTTACCATTCCACCCATTTTTATGGGAAAAAAATGGTCAATTTGGGCTGCCATGTCATGCGGCCCGGCGGCCGTCAGCACTGACAGGTGGCCTTTGAGGAAGATCAAAAGTACAAGGCTGCAATCATCTCCAATCGCAGATGTCATGGTTATTTCAACCAATGCTATATAACTATAACATTCAGTAAACAACCCTTCTGATGATGGGTATATAGTCAACACAATGATGAATGGGAATATCATCAAATGATGACCGGTATCATTGCAAACAATGATGATGGGCCAATGATGGGTGTATATAACCAACATGACCCAACGTGCGTTGTGGGTGTATTTAGCAGCACTGATAGGGTGTTTCATTCTATTTGATACAGAATGATTTGGATGATGGAGGTTTTGGTTTGAAATATATTGAAACAACTCAACTGAAACATCAAACTCCACAGGACGTGTTGGAATTTTCTGGGACCCACATTGTCCATGTCCGTCATCATACCCGCCGTATTGGTGCGTGTGTGGTCGCTTTCATGTCGCGTAACGGTTTGGAACCACAACTGTTTTTTTGTTGTGAAAAAATAATATAGTTTAATAATATATTAGTTTCAGTGTCAAACCATAACTGGAGTAGATAAGTCGATATCTTTCTGAACCATGTTCATGTTGAGCAGACGTGAAAGCGACATCCAAGTCAGCTGCTCCAGGAGGGTCGCTTCATCCTGGAAGAAGAGTTGATGTTGTCAACCACTTGAGGCTGAAGGTCACGGATTGCAGGGCTGTTGTTCGTTCAGGGTGCATGAAGATAAAGTTTTTGCACACAGGGAATGCGATAGAGTATGAGACAGTGTGAGACATTGGTGTTTGTGATCAAATCATTACCATTTCTCTGGTGTCCATTTTTTATTCTTATTTGTGATTGTCACTGTCGTGGTTGTGGTCTTCGCTGGTGCAAGTGTTTGCCGTGGCTGTGGTGAAACTTGGTGCTTGTTGCTGCAGCTTCGCCATCCTACCGAGTATCACCCGAATTTGACCCACAACATGTTGCGTATCACCAAACGTTTTTTCCGGAATTGCGAATAACTGCTAACCTATTTGGGGGCCCACCCTAAGAATCTTGGAGAAAGGAGATGAATTCATGGTATTTCATGGTCGACATTGTTTTTTGTCTCCAGCACCGTGGAGACTTTTGGCGGCGAGGGGCGCGCGAAAAAAACGACACAATGCCATACAGGGCCTCTTTTAAACTTCGGTCGGGGCCTTGCTCCGCCAACCATCTGCCACCTGCATCCACCTGTCACATCTGTTGGATTGGCTTTGCCTGGAGAGTTCAATGCCTTTCAACCATTTTCAACATCTCTTAATATGTCTTAACCTTTTGCAATAGAACTTAAGGGGGACATGTATCTCCACTATGACTATCTATGACTTTTGGACGCTTGCGTGGGAATGAGCGGATTGAATGCCGCAACACCATGCTGCACCTCTTGACATTGTCGTTTTCTTTGCGAAAAAATACATCATTTGGAGAGAGTCATTCTGCAAGTAGGCAATTGACATTCAGGCTACGACTGGTCGTACTTGGGGTAAGTTGCCATTTGGCTTAAATTTTCCTTGGAGTACTTAAATGCCATCCAGCCAACTCATCCATTCATCGCCAATCTTTCATCATCTTTCTGCAGAGTTTGCAATGGCAGATGGTGTGCTTGGACAGTAGGTATTCAGAAACAGCTGTGGCCTGTCTCTCAACAGTAGAGCTGGTCATAGGATCCTCTGGGACGGTCCGAGATTTTTTTTTTGTGGGGAAGAGTAGAGTTCCAATGCAGTACTCTCTATGTATAAAGGTGATTATAGGTATATAGGATTATATAGAATAGGTACAAAAAAATAGTGGTATGTATATATTTTTTGTGTCTATGTCTATTTACGCCTATGTTCAGGGCATCTTCTAGATACTGCAATGTACTGCATGTGTTTTAGCACAGGTGACCACCAGAGCAGAGGACAAAGTGCCTCTCTGCTTTCTGTACAAAGTGCTGGCAGCCTGAGGTGGCGAGCATGATGGGTCCCTTCATGTCCCTTCCGTAATTTTCAGTGATACCCTCTGGTGACCAACACAAATTTTCGCGAAGTAGCAAAAAATAGCAAATCACTTTGAAAACGCGAAAATCTTTGAATTCGATTGGCTGCTTTGCAAATTGCGAAAAAAATCTGAGAAATTCCCGGCCCATGGTGGACCAGCCACGTCGTGATGCTGCAACGTTGACACTGCGAGTTGCCGTGCCGAATTTCAACAGCACGGAGAAGCCAACCGGGAGTTGCAGGAAGCCATCTGTAGGGCCTGTAGGGTGTCAACCAAGATGAACTTGTCATAAATCTAGCGATTTTGATGAAATTAGTACAAGCCTTGGCCAGTTTAAGACATTGACTTGACCGCTATTTAATACTATTTGATGTTGGAACCTGGAAGAAAATCAAAGTGCTTCTTGTATCTTCTTGTCCTTTCATGTTTTCAATCGATTGCTTCGGATTGTTGGCAGTGCACCCTTCATTCCTGCACACATTTTTGGGGATGCCTCCCTCACAGATCCATGGGACTCCACCCCCTGGCAACTCCTTTGGCAGGCGCAAAGTCTCCCACTTTTCCGGGCGCAAGTTGGGCATGGGTCAGATCCTTTTTTTTTTTGCCCTAAACATCCTAAACCAGAGATGGGCTGGTGGCCTGTGATTCTTGGCATGTGCAGCCATCCTCTTTCATGGAGCTCTCCATTTTTTCGAGGGTATCACAGCAGCTGACCTTCGACTGGACCCATACCCAGGTTTTTGCCAGCCGTTTTTGTGCAGGCCAAGGCATTGCAAGATGGCAGGAAGCAGAGCTGCTGATGGGGCTGTTGGTAAGAGTTATATACGAAGCTCATTTGCAAATACTTGTTCGGGGAACAGGAACAACAACAAAAACAAAAACTGTGTTTCGTAATATGTATATATAATTATATATATATACATATGTATAGATATATTAATACTAGTACATAGTAAATATATGTAAATATCATATATGCATATTACATCATATACATACACATATCATACATATATACACATGATATGATTATAGTTAGAATAAGATAATGATATTATATACATATATAAGTAAACAAAGGTCACATTTTAGATATACACCTGTAGCATAGACCATGGTTTGCACAGCAGCGCTCCATCGCTTCCCCGGGGAACCTGGGGAGCCCTTTGTGGCGAGTCCGGCGATGGAGTCCGGCGAAGCGTCCCTCGTTGCGTGACGAGGAGCGTGACGACAGGGTGAAGAAAAGATAGGATTAACGGGGATTTAAGGGGGATTAATGCGAATTTACTGGGGATATTTAACCAGCAATCTGCTGTTTAAAGCTGAATGATGCTTGGGTAGATCATATTCGGATTGATTTTTGTGCACGCTCATATCAGAAACTTTGGGTTTGGGGATGCTTTGGCAGCGGCAAAGAATGCGAGATGAACCGCAACTCCTTATCATGACGTATCACACACTTCACACTAAGTGGTTTATGATGTTGATTGCTTGGTCCAAGACACTGAAGGGAGATCTGTAGAGACATCCCTTCGTCATGTCTACCACAATGTGACGCCCTATCTGAAACAACCAAACACAAGCAAGGAAGTGGCAAGCAACAAAGGATTTTCCACCATTTTCCCATTGTTTCTCTGATCTATTTCCGCTTCGTGTGTTTTTGTGAAACGGATTTGACGAATGCAATGAACAGAATCATACGAAATCCATAAACGTTTTCATAAACTGGGTGTAGCCCTAAATATGTATAATATTATCCATTATTACTCCTATATGATCTATATTTGGGATGCTTGGGTTGCTGGGACGGTTGCCATGGTGCGACCGGCGGTCCATGTCTTCGCCTTTGCGGCCCCTCGCCTTTGCAGCATGGGACGTGGCTGCTTCGGGGATGTTGTTTAAAGTTGTCTAACATGTTGCCAACATCAAATAGATCATATGATATAACTAATATTAGAATGTATATTACATTATATAGTACAGCACAATATAATATAATATAACATAAATAAATATACATTTAAATATACATATAGATATGATATTAAACATAAATAAATAAAATTTAAATATAATATAACTATGATATAAATATAATATAAACATAATATAAAAATGATATAAATATAATATAAATGTAATATAAATATAATATACATATGATATAAATATAATTTAAATATAATGTATAATATAAATATCACTGCATAATATAAAATATTAAACAATATTACAACAGAATATGAGATATAATATAATATTAACACATATAATAATATAATATGATATATAATGTAATATCAAAACCATATAATAATATAATATGATATATTCTATATATATATTATAATAATATATATATATAATCTAGGTTGCCATTTCGCACATTTTTTATTTTTTTCCTGTGCGCTGCCCCGCCCGCAAGAACTGCAGCCATTTGTCACCGTGTTTTCTTCATCTTTGCCGACTTCTGGGTTTGGACCCTTGGTCAAAACCTCAATGTGATGGGATGCATTGATGACAACTTTCATTCAATCATTCAAGTAATCATAGATTCTTTTTGATGAAGGGATGCAGTCTATAGTCCGAAGTCCACCGTCCAAAGTCCACAGCATCCGCTTTTGAGGCTCGCCCTGCTGCTTCTGCGGAGTCTTCTGCAAAGTCTCCTGCCCTACGACTTGGCGGTTTGGACCCTCAGCATTGGAGCCAGGCAGTTATAGTAGTGAATGATAATTTATGGGGCCTTTATTTCCGACATATGTTGTTTTAGAAAACACCCGAAGGAAGCTTGAACGCTCCAATTTTTGGTCCTATTGGGCTGGCCATGCTGATGTCGCCGGTTTCATGTTGGCATGTTGGCTCGAGTCAGAAGTCCACAGTCCGCAGTCCATTTGCTGTGGGAATGGTGCAGGCTATCTCGTTGGCAGCCATGGCGGCTGAGCAAGCCCAGCAGAGTCAGCCGGCCCAACCAGCGCAGCCAGCTGATCCAGCAGCTGAGAGTTTGGGCAGCAACGGCGGGACTGTGGCGGTCTCCGAGGCGCAGGTTGCTGCCAGTCGCTTTGAGCAAGCGGTTGTGGCGCAGGGCGTGTCCATTGCTCCTGGCATCCTTCGCCTTCGGCCTGAGGATGTTTTGGCCCATATCTCGTCTATTGGTGGCACAATTGCTAGCTAGTTACTACAGCTCAACATTTTGAGGTTATTGCATGTTATTGCTAGTATCAATATAAATTATTTCATATTGTATATATATACACACACACTTAATTTATATATATATATATTTACATTTATATATTTTGTTTTTCTTCTTAATCTTTAATAGTATATAGTTTTCTTCGTATGCAGATTGCCTATTGTGAAAACCTTTGAAAACATCTAATATTGCATTTTGTTTTTCAAAAGCGCGTGCTTTATCTACGTAAAAAATAGATGAATGAAGAAAGAGGTTTGTGTATATATATATATACACTTAGCAATTTTTTTTTGCAATAAATGTATTATATTTATATGTACATATAGTAATTATATAAAAGATTTTTTGTGTTTGACATAAGACGTATATATATATATATATGGTGATCGATCTAAAGGTCCTTGTAAGGAGTTTCAATTGCGAAAGCCGTGCATGTTATGTTGGAAACCCTCGCGAAAGTTTTTTTTCGAGTTCGCGAAAGTAAAATTTTATTTCGCGAAAGTTTCGCGAAAGCTGGGTCTTATAATCATTATATGTAAAGGGCTGCCACCCACTGCCGCCCGGGGTCCGGCAGGAGAAGGGCACCAGAGAATGCGAGTAGCAGTAGCCAAGTTTCCAAAAGTGAGGCTTTGCGAGAGCCAAACACCAAGGCCCCTGGTCTTCGCTTTTCCTTCAGTGCACCCCCTGCTGATGGCCGGGGTCTGTGAATAGGGATATTTTCGCGAAAGTTCCGCGAAAGTTATGCGAAAGAGCGGGCGAAAGTCAAAGTGCATGTTGAAGGGGGTGGGCCAGTAAATTTTGCAAAAAAAATCTGTCCTGAGAAGGGATTCCGTGATGCTAGCTGAATGTTTAAAACAAGAAGTGATCTGTGATTCTCTGGCGTAATTTGGCAGGTGGTGAACGAATCTTCATAAGAGATGTTGTTGGCCAACATGGGCCCCGCGAAAGATAAACATGGAGTTCGAGAAAGTTTCGCGAAAGTAAAATTTTTATTCGCGAAGAATGGCCGTTCCGGGATAAAGGAATTTTGATCAACAACCATATATATATGTATAATTGATTTCAATCTCTGAAAGAAACCATAGCAGCCTTGACAGGAGGCGTGTTTCTGCCATGTGGCCCTGAGGTCCTTGCAGTCTGCCCCGCAATTCTTCCAGGAAGAGTACAACACTGGCGAGCGATTTACTTGGTGCTTCGCTGGCTTCGACTGCTTGAGGTCCAGCTTTTACCCTGAAGGTCGCAGAACCCCGCAGGCAATCAATTCCTTGTGCGGAAGTTCCTTGGCATTCTTGTGGTGCATATATGTGTTGCAGGACACGGGAATATTGACAACTCATTGGTTTTGTCAAAAAAACACTATTAACATTTGTTGGCATTCAAGAAGGTTGACCATCATTGGTTTCTATCAGCGTAGGAGAAGGAGAACTGGTTTCCTGTATCTTGCCTGCAGGCTTTGTGCTCCTGGAGGAAGACATCCAGCTGGAGGCCGAAGATGTGCTGGCACTGATTCCTCCTCGTGCCCATGTCCCGCAGCAGCTTTCGGTTGCTGCTTGCTTTGAAGAACGCCTCATGTTTTTGGGGCTTTGGGCTGGTGGCCTCGAGTTGTGTGAAGTATTATGCCGCTCCCCCCTGTTAGATGGCGCTAAATGACATCGATTCTATTGAAAGGATTGCTCAATGACATAGCCCAACCAATGATCAACTCAGTTGAGCTGCTGCGTGCGCGAGCTTCTGGAGCAGTTCCACTTCGAGCACAGGCAGGGTAGCGAGGAGAAGCTGTTCCATATCCTCATGCACCCCTTCACGCTCCATGCTCTGGCTCGTGGGAACACCTTGAAGGTGTTTGTGACTTGGACTTGGAAGGCAGGCTGCTTCAGAGTCTTTGAGCCCATGAGTCCACAGTCCAGCAGTCCTTGGCAGCATGTAACACGCAAAGGTGCAATTTTTTTTGTTGCTTGTATAGTTTTTGGCCGCAGGAAGGGGATGAGGCCTGGGCGAATTGGCCCCTTCCAGTCACATCCGCTGGCGAAGTCGCAGACGTTGGACTGTATGCCAGAGATGTCGTCAAGTTCGGGCGCAAGTTCATCAAGCTTGCAGGCTTGCGCCGCGCTGAGCCACGGGCTTTGCCTGGTCAGGCGCATGCGAGCCAGCTGAGGTCGCTGGAAGAGAGGACGCAGGTTTTCAAAACATTGACATTGATACTTTGTCTTTAACTATGAACGGGGCGATAGCATAGCATCATTAATTATATTGCACCCTGAAGGAACATCAGCCTGCTGGAGAAGTGTTTTTTCACAGAGCGCTTCACAAAGGAGTACTTGGAGCAGCTGACCAGGTGTGGTGTGCGCTTGGGAGTTCAGCACACGATGCTGCTGTGCCTTGGTATGCGGTGTTGTTTTCCTATATTTGCTCAAAAAGATCCTTGGTTACTTAGAAATGACCCTTCAGATGCAGATTTCCGAAAATCGGGCCATTGAAGGGTCAAATCGGGCCATTGAAGGGTGTTGTGTGAGCAGCCCAGGCGCACAGAGGAGCTACAGGTCATTCGCCACCTGGACAATGGGGTGCAGCAATTTGTTTGCCAGTTGCCAGGGGAGCGCCCCACTCACACCCAGAGCCTGTGGGTTTCAGCGGATGGGTACTTCTACGCGCTGTACATCATCCCGGCAGACGTTTCGCACAAGAGCTTCAAGACGCCCACGATGTTCATCAAGGCTGCAGGGTAAAAGCCATGATGGAAGATGGAACAGCCATCCACTGATTTGGTAATCAATTTTCTTTGGTATTGGAACCCAATGGCTTGTTTTGAAGCACTTGCGCTTCCTGAATTTTTCCAAGAAAAAATGCGCACCTTGAAGCAGGCAGAGGTCCTCAAGGGAAACTTCAATGAGAACTTTCAGAACTTCGACATGACGTCCAAGAGAGATGTGCCCTGCATGTGGACTGGCATGAGCGAAGACGATTTCGGGTTCTTCCTGAACGGATTCCGGTTTGTTGCTGGGCTTCAGTTTACATTTGATTTCTACTTAACAAGTTCTGGGTTTCTCTAGGCGGCGGTGATTTATTTTTCAAGAATTGGTGTAGGGTCTGACTGTTTGTTGTGCTGGGAAAAAAACGTCCTGTTGCCTAAGGTGCCAGCAGTTTCGCACAGGCGCCGCCCGTTGGTATTGAAGCTGGAGCGTCGTTCGGACGCTCAATGGAAGCCATTCGAATTGCACCTGGCTCGCTGCTGTGCTTGGCCCTCTGGCGCTGATGATGCTCTGAAGACGGGCCGCTCCAGGATTCCTGAGGGGGCCAGCGCTGGCTACAGTGATCAATGGGACGTGTGACCAGCTATTGCGTAGGGCTGGGCAATTCAATTGCACTGAAGAGCCTCTGACATAACCACAGTCCAAAGTCCACAGTCCACAGCAAATCATCTTTTGAATTTCAGAATTTTGCTTGTGGCTAATTCCAAGTGGCAGTGGCGGTGGAGAGTTGTTCTTTTCCAGAGGCTGCGCATTGCATCGTGCAGCAAATGGCTTGCACCAACCTCACCCAAACCATCTTGTTTGGTGCCATCGGCCTGACTTTTGCATTTGGAGCAGAAGAAAAAACATTGTTTCAATGGTCTGGCGGGCTTGCAGAAGAAAAAACATTGTTTCCCATGAGTCATTTTATCTACGGTTGTTTTCAGAGGCTTTCTAGAGGGACAAACTAACTTTATAATAACTCTTGGGAATGGAAGCAATATTTCCTTTTCCTTTTTTCTAGTCGCACTAGCAATGTGCAACAAAGATGCTGCAAGCTTTGCGCGCTGAGGCTGGACTCGACTTCTTCGTCTTTATTTGCCGGTGGGTTGCTCGGTTGGAGGCTCGCCCTTTCAAGCACATGCATGCCATGGCATAAGGCTTTTGAATTTGCACGTCCTGACATATTTTTAATGTTGTTTCTCTGCACCACGCGCAGGACCTCCGGAGTTTGGGTTGCAAATAATCAAGCTGCAGGCAAGGGATTGCGGTCAATAATCATGTGCGAGAAGCTATGATCATGTCCAGTGTCACTTTGAACCCGGATGTCCCAGGCCAACGCTGGGCAGGCAGTGGCAAGGCACCTAGCTGTGCGATTTTCAAGCCCAAAAAGTCCACAGTCAGAAGCCTCTGACCATGTTCGCATGTGCATTGCAGCAGTCGGCCAATTTCAGAAACCTTTTCATTATAATGCTTTTTTTGGGTACTTTGTCTCAATGGGCAAATTTGATCAAATTTGACCACTTCTCAAAATGCCTAACTGAGTGATTGTGAACTAACTATAGGCATACTGCACCCCCTGGGCTCTAGTGCTGCAAACGAGAAGAAGCCACATCACAGGTGCTACTTGCCTTGCGTGATGGGTCTGCATGTGTTGCAGACTGGGATGCTGGTTGGATGCTGCGCGCAGTCTTCAGCTGCGCGCCCAAAGGTATAAGAGTCCACAGTCCACAGTCCACAGTTCGAGCTCCAACAGCAGGCTGGAGACTTGGAGTTGCACGATACATGCTGCAAAGGTCGCACATCGAGTCATGCTGCACATTGCACAAAGGTTGCAAACTAAGCAAAGCACAGACATTCATTGGCCGGAGCCTCTTGGCTTTTTGTTTTGCACACAAGTGTTGCATTGGTTGCTCAATCAGTTGGTTTGCGATTATGTTTTCAGATTTAAGTTCCAATTTTGTTTCACAAGCAAGGCCTTGCAATGGCAATGGCAGTTTAGTAGGTGGAATTTCAGAGGTGCATTCATGGCGATTTTGTTTGAATTTGGGCCAATATTTTTTGGCACAGTACTTGGTGCGCAGCTTGCGCGCGCTTAGGCTTGGGTGTGGCAGCGTTCTCTTTGTGACAGCACGCCTGATGCCCAGAACAACTTCCAGTTCGTACGCTTCTTCGCATTGTCCATTGTTTGATTTTAGCCTTTGCCCAGATCCCAATGCTGAACAATTGGTTGGATGGCTGGGGTCGGACTTTGAAGGACTTAGTGGCTGATGGATGCAGGCAAGCCTGGATCACTTGCACAGCACCAGTCCATAGTGCACAGTCCGCCTTCCCACCAAGGCTCCAGCGTATAGGAACAGATTGCAGTGGCATTGGAGTGCCTGTGCAGCCTGCCGCACAAGCACATGTGTTCCTTTCAGGCATCAGGCAGCTGAGGCCCCTTGGCAGGTTTCATTGGCCAAGACACGGCCAGAGAAGATGTTCACTGATGTTTTGAGCAGTTCTCTGCTTTCATGGAATTATATGCATCGGGTTTTTCATGTAAGCCTTTCTCGTCAAAGCAATGCTTCAAGAGGACGCAGCTAGATTTTTTTGCGACCGTGGATCGCATACACCAGGTGATGCCATCCTGTTTTGTGTTTCAGAGAATGTGATGCGCATTTGCTGTGTGGCAGCCACCGCAGAAACTCCGGCAATACTAGACATGTAAGGGACGGACATCAGTTTCATGGGAATGGATGGAAACTGCAAAAACACAAGGTAAGTGATGATGGGACCTTTCCAAATTAGCGATGCCCCCTTTCAAGGTTATATATGCGGTTTCGGATGTTGATTTCTGACGTCGTCTCGTCTGTGAACTAACAAGGGCACATGGTCCTCAGAAAGTGTTCTTCTTGATATCCATGTTACATGGAGTGGTTTGCAGAAATATTTGTTTTACTCACTGCCTGCACATCCTTTTCTTGAATGTTTTCATTGACTCTCCACTTGAATCTGTGCCAGTTCGATTGCCCGTACGCTGATTTTCCCTTCCCGCTGCTGTTGTCTGGTGAAGCTTCTTTGAAACATCTTGTAATAAATTATTGTCGTTGCTGACGAGTGTTTCCATTGACTCCCCATGTGAACTTGCCTTGTTTTGATTGCCTGTTTGCTGGCTCCAACTTCGTACTGTGAAGCTGCTTCCTGGCGAAGTACTACACAGATACCAACCTGGGAAAATCATGAAGGAAATTTTAGCCATACCCTAGCGACGCCTAAGCGATACCCACGCGATACCTGCCTTCTGTCCCAGATACCCTGATGCGAATCAGTCTGTGACACATTTCTGTTTTCTGGTGACAGACCAGTAGAGATAGCTAGATAGAAAGGTAGCCAGCTGGATAGAGAGATAGATAAATAGACAGACAGATAGATGGATAGATCGATAGATAGATTTCTTAGATGGATAGATCGGTAGATCGATCGATAGATAGATAGAAAGACAGACAGATAGATCGATCGATAGTGGCCTTTGGAGAACGGAAATGTCCGTCATTGCAAAACTTGGATCCATTCCTTTCATTTTGATTGGATTTCTGTTGCTGCTGCTGCTGCTGTTGCCGCTGCTGTGGCTGCTGCTACTGCTATTGCTCCTGCTGCTGCTTGCCTTCCCCCTACCGAGCTGCCTGCGCCACAAGGGGTACACGCAGCGGTCGTCGCTGGCCGGGCGATCGGGGCGGCAACTGCCCTGCGTGCTTGAGGCCAACACCCGCCTTGTCGGGCATGAGAGCAGAGCGATGCGCTAATGCGCCTGCTCGGCACGTACCAGTCGTGACGACTGGGTTTCCACCGGGGCCGTGTGCCCTGGCCTCGGGCTGTGCCTGGCACGGGAGGCTTTTATCCTTGAAGTGGAAAGTTGCAGCCGGCAAGCTTCCTTCAGCAGCACGTGCAAAGCGATGGCAGGTCTTCACCTTGTCCGATTGGCAGGGTGTATGGTCTTTCCTGCGCGCTATCTTGCTATAAAGTAGATTGGTGTGCGTGACCTTGCTTAAAAAGGGCACATAGGCAAGGCTGCAAATTATTATTCTGCGTTTCTGTTTCTGTTTGTACAGAGGGGATGAAGGGGTATATGCTGCATGGGGAAGTCAAGAACCTCATGCCTACAGTCACCACCAATCAACTCCCGGTTTGCACCAACCAAGAGCTGATTGCTAGGGAAAAAAACCACCCATTTTCACTTTTCCTGCAAATGTGCATTTTGAGGATTTGCTATCATGAGATTAGACTCCTGGTTCGCACCAACCAGCAGTCTATTCGAGGTGAAAATTTCCCTCTGAATCTACTTTAGTATTGGATTTTTTTCCCCTCCAATTGACTCCCGGTCGGTGCAAACCAACGAAAGCAGCCATCCAAGGGTAAATCGTTGCATCCAAGGGTAAAAATGGCAACTCTGAGGCATCCAAAATTGGCATCCAAGGGAAAAATGCTTGCATCCAAGGCCATCGATACCCTACTACTGAAAGATGACAATGAGGGCAGGCGCTCCTTGTCCATCAGCATCAGAGAGCTGTAAGCATCTTGGCTATGTCAAGTCACAGAGAAGTCAGCCAACTTTGATGCTTTCAGTTTGATGCTTGTGTATTATTCAGAGTGCGCATCAGGTTGATGCTTTCAAAGACTGGGCCACGCTCTGCATGGTCAAAGCCAAGCCGGGCTGCTGCTGCTGTTTCGTGTTTGCAAGAGTAGGGCCGGATGTCTTCACTTTTCAATAGTTAGATGCCATGCTGCTACAAGCCTATTATGGTTCCAAGGCTGCATTACATTGCACCAAGGGGGAGCAGCTTTGGGACTTGGCAGATTTCCTGTTTCGTAGCTTACGTCTTCGAAGAGCTGAGCTGTGGTTACCAAGTTGATTTTGAAAGCGCAGTGATAGCAACACAGCTAGAAGTTAGAGCATGGCTCTTGAGGCATGGCTAGCTGCTTGGCTCACCTACCGTGCCAACTGCCTGGCACCAAAG